AATAATAATAATAATAATAATAATAATAATAATAATAATAATAATAATAATAATAATAATACCAATAATAATAATAATAATAATAATAATAATAATAATAATAATATAAACACCCTGCCTAATAGGGTACTTGCTATGGCTACTAAGGCCATATTAGACGGACCTATCTTCTATAAGAGGGCACATATCTCTTAGCTAGAACAATCAACGAGCTTTCTACTTATCTTTTTTTAGCACTTCTTTATAAGATTATAAGGTTTAGCTTCAGTGTCAAGCTTTTATACGGCACATCTTTTTAAGTGCTTTTATATTAGTGACTTACGCAAGGATTCAAACTTTTAGTCTTTATCTTTATACAGCTTATTACATTCGCTTAATTCGCAATCAAGTTGATCTTCGTTTATTATTTAGTACTTTATACTTAACTACAACTTCAAAACAATTAAAAACTTTATTCTCGATAAGTTCGGATACCGAAACGCCGCAATAGCCGAAGTGTAATATTTCGGCTCTTCGGCAAAAACTCTCTTTTATTATTAATAAGAAAGAATTTTCATTCATTAATGAAAATACTTTTTTATACTTTAGTTCTTATCTTGAATTAAAACACTTGATATAATCTAAAGTTATTAGCGAAGCTAATCAATTGATTCTTAAGTTTTTTATAGTTTTAATCTTAATTATTAGTTTACTTTTATAAAAGGTCTATTTTTTTTAATTTCGGATTAAGAATACTTTATAAATATCGCTTATTTTGCTTATAAACTCGGTTTACGAGTTAAAATTAAATAATTCAAAAACTTTTTATCAGCCCGATCATTCTTAATATACACATATATTTGATTTTTAGAATATCGAAAACCTTTTTGAGATTTTTAATATCGAAATCGGCGTAAAATCACTTTTCTTTTCGTTAAAATCTTTTAAATTTATTAAATCTTTTAATTATATTTTTATAAGCTTCGGATTATTTTTATTTTACTTCGACTTTTAATTAGAACTTTTACTTTTATCGGAAACACTTGCTTCGGAAATGCTTTTTAAAATCAACACCGGTCTTAAGATCTATATTATTCTTTTTCTTTTTGCTTTTCTATTAAGCTTTGCGCTAATTATAATCGACCTTGTTATCTTTTACGCTTTTATAACTACTCGTATGCTATTGCTAAGTGCTTTAAGAGCTCTTTGCTTTAATAGTGCTAATATCACCGACTTTATTAAAAAGTACGAAAAGACTTGTAATAACTTTAATATCTTTAAAAACGATCGATTCGTTAAGCTCTTTCGCTATTACGATAACTTTCGCAAAAAGGTTATTAAAAGCTTGCTTGAATAAAAAGCTAAGAAAGATTAAGCTGCTTTCGTTAAAGCTTTAAAAGCCGAGTTTCGTAAGAACGATACTTAATAGATCAAAGACTCAATCGCTTTTTTACGAGAATTTGCTATGTAAAAATAAGATATTAATAATTTAAAAAACTATTATCGCATTTTCTTTCGAGTCTTTAAAAAGCTTACTTTAATGCACTTTTTAAGCAAGACCGAACAAAGCCGTTTGTTTTTTCTCGGATTGCTCGTCGAAATTCGAAACAAAACGATTAAGCATTATAAAGTCGACGAACTCGACTTAAATTCTTATGCCGCTTTTAACGACTTTATCGCATTCGCTTTTAAAACCGATTAAAATGCTAAGACTATCGAAGCTATAAATCGAGAAAAGTCTTTTTTAATTAACTTTATTAAAAATATTCGAATTTTAATTAAAAAATACACCGAGCTAGCTAGCGTTTGTAAATCTGCTAAAAAAGCTTTAATAATAATGCCGTTCACTTGTAAATTACGGTTTACGAATAAAAAAAAAGAAGTTAATAAAGTAAGTTTTATAATTAAAAAGTTTTTTAACTTGCAAATTAATGCGATCTATAATCGAATTGATTACTTCGAAGACTAAGTTATTAACTTAACTTCTCGACGCTTTATTTAGTTTTAGCTTTAAGTTCGATTCGAAGATTACGACGAAGCTTTTATTAAGTATATTGTTTAAAATGCTCGAAATAAAGTCAGCTTCGAAGATAAAGTTTATATTATTATTATCGGTTACGAATTATAAAGACGAAGAAGAAAAAAAGATAAAAGATACGAAAACTAAATATAAGATTATAGCTTTTATAAGAACTTCGAAAATACAACTTAAGTTTTTTATTAATACCGAGATAAATATAAGGCTTTTAAAAATATAATTAATAAAAGATGCATTTATATTAATAATTACGAACGCTTTTGCTAAAGACTTAAAAGGATCGGTGCTTTTATCATTTAAAAGAAGTAAAAAAAGACTTAATTTAAATCTATTATATTAAACGTTCGTAAAACGGAATATAATAACATCTTAAAGAATCAACTTATTAACGGACTTAAAACTTATAAACACTTGCTTTTTTATTAATAATTAATCTAACAACTAATTTAGTATCAGCTCGATTAAAATGCTTAGCAATTGACTAACTAGCTAAAAGAGCTTATTATTATTTTTAAAAGACTAGTCGATATTAAAAATATTAATATTATAAAATAAATTAACACGCTTAGCTACTTATCTAGCATAAAGGTTGCTTCGGTCGAAATCAACGCTGCCGTAAAAGATAAAGCTAAAAAGCTTCTTTCGCTTTCGAAAAGATCTAAGCTTATTAAAATTAAAAAGAATATTTAATAATAAAAAGAAAAGAATTACGGCACTTTTAAAGCTCGTGCTTTTTAAGAATCGAGTATTGCTATAAAAATAAACTTAAAAAATAAGTTGTTCGATAGTGTAATTAAAGAAAAGTCTTTTAGACTTTTTAAATTAATTAAAGCCGACGAAGCTATAAAAAATATAAAAAGAAAAGTTAAGATCATTTAACGAATGCTAAAAAAAAAGAAGAAAAGGACTTATAAACGAAAGAAGTTCATTAACCTTTACGTTATTATTAAAGCTTAAGAAAAAGCAATAGCGGCGATTATAAAATCGAGAATCGAAATTTAAATTAAAAACTTGTTCGGACTTAGCTTTCGCTTCGATAAGCTATTAAGCTATTATATTCTAATAGTTTTCGATATTAAAGAAAACGTAAAAGTCTTTTAAAGTAAGCTTATTTTTATAA